AAGTAATAAGTGTTCGGATTACCGGTACTTGACGACTAAATCGGATCCGTCAATTGCCGATCTGTAATCCAGTTACAATACATTGACGGCATCTAAGGAAATCCCTGATGAACATCCAATAGGTTTGGCTTTCACCTGCGTTTTCACTATGATTCGCTTCCACCAGGGGTCGTTGATGAAACACCGAGAGGTGGTGAAACTCAACCAGAAAAGTGAGAACCGTGCTGTGAGTCAGACTGAAGGAAAGGTAGTCTGACCACAATTCCAACGTGAAGAGTGAGAATGTGACGTCACCGCTGTGCTGTCGTATGACTCCTTATAAAAGTAACGCGCTGCGGTGCTGTCAGACCCAGGAGCACTGTGTTGGGCACAAAGAAGGATGCAACTGCTATGTCGGGCAGGCAGCCATTCATGTGCTGGCTGACGAGCGTCCTTGGTGAACTAGCCGGGATGGCGGATGGACAGCTGCCCCGCGAACAGCCTCGCTTTGCGCCGTGTGAAAATGGCGCCGATGGTTTTCAGGTGACAGTGACTTTCTTGTTTCCTTGGGAGGCAGCGAGCATTGGCGGTCGATGAATCGAATATGTGAAACGATGCCGGAATGGCGGGCTGGTTTGGGGAGAAACGGGGCAAGCTCCTCCGCCGTTCAAACGAGGACTTTGTTCAGAATGCAGCGGACAGGTGTCTCAGATCACCGAGTGGACGTGTGCACCCGAGTGGCCTCCGCGAAAGCCGATCTGCCCAAGATGCTTTGGGTCATCGGTAGAAAGATTTGCCTTGCAGTGGCCCATTCGAGATCGCAGATCGGGGACCGTGGAGCAACGTCCTCTTGCCTCTCTGAAGACGCAGCAAGTTGGAGCGTGTAAGAAGTTTCTTACACGCTCCACTACTTTAAAGTAGTGGGGGAGCACTACTGGAAGAATGTCCTCCGTAAAAAGAGAGCTCGCGCTGCGATCCGGGCTTGTGCCACAGCAGGCATCGAGCTCAAAAGGCAGGTCGACCTGCCATCGGCGATGTCGCCAACGGATTCTCAACCTGCGCCACGGCATGGACCGGGCAAGGAAGCCACGGCGAGCGCGCTGCAGCCGCCGGCCGACACCGCGTGGGGAGCCGCGAAACAGAGTGGCTGTGTGGCAGCCCGGTGGACAAGAGCATGGGCGTGCAAGTGAAGCCGGAGGAAGAGGAGGGTCCGGTGACTGGACCCGCTGATGCAGAAGAGATGACACAAGTAGGGGATCAAAATGTTGCATCAGGATTATTGTTAGAGGAACGGCCTGAATCCAGAATCGAGCCTGTGTTGCCGTCAGCTAACTGGCTTGGCGAGGAACTTGCAGACATGATTGAAGGGGAGAATGACTTTTATGTTGAGGCACTGATGAAAGACATTGAATCGGGGGTTGAGGTTTGTGATGCAATTCGGGATTTTCTACAACATTACAGGTCAGGTCAGAAATTAGGGTTCGTGGTTGATTACTGAACTGGTGCTGTGACATGGCAAAATGAGGCACGCAGGAGCAATTTTGAGTTCACTCTTTGTTTCTGAGTGTGACATTTGTGGGCGAAAAGACAAGGGTGTGTTTGAGTACCTATACGGAGCCCTAATCTGTTTGGACACCACTTTTGTTGTAAACAAGAGGCTGCGACCGCTTTGGGCTGCGACTGTGCGTGCTTGACGGCGTACGTGGGTGTGCTGTGCTGTGACCCATCTTCGCGTGCATTCGATTGCATCAGCGAGATCTCGAACCGGGATGGCCAAGAAACTTTACCAAAAAGTATAATTGCGAATGCAAATAAAATATGAACGCAAATGCGACTACCATGTTGTATGAATATATATTTTTGAACCTCTTTCCAAATCTATACATCATCCATATACGCACGCGGATGTTTCCAAGTTCATAGATTCACCTCGTAGGAATAGATGCACCATCACGCCGAACAACAGACCACAAGGCACGTGCAGTATTGCTGAATTTGGTAGAGTGCCAGACCGGCAGCATGCTGAATCACTTGATTTGACTACATATGTAAATCCAACTTTAAATGTTCATTCGCTATCACAATTGGTGAAAACCCCGCAGCTGGTGACCGCATGGGGCCTAAGGATAATCCACGATCAGGGATTCACATGTGCAACGTCTCAAGAAGTTTGGTGGATATTCCACAGATTTCTTTAGCGAGCTGCGAGATCTCAATCCGATTTGCCGTTGGATGGATCTAGAAGCTGATCGGAAGCGCTGCAAATCGGAGTCGCCAACCAGCGGGGCCGCGACTTGAATAATCAATGTTGACATATTAAGAAATGATTGCTTTTCAACTGACTGTTCCAAAACATGAAGCAGCTATGTGTATTTTATCACGTTAGATGAGCTGTCGCCACAAGTCTCGCATTCCAAGATGAGCGGTGCTGCCATTGCCAGAGTGTAAACGTGATGTGGATGAGAGTCTTGTCTACACTATTACAAACAGAGTGATGCGCAATTCATCAAGTACTTGATTTCATCACTTGTTGCATTGTATTGACATCGCTACATCACTGTTAGTGAATTGTAGATGGAATGACTCTTACAACCAAACCGGCTGTTGTAGGTGCCTCTTCAAGCAGGCGCTATCGCATGCTCAATGCAATTTTGCCAGGTGGCAAAGCGGCGCTTTCCAAACCCGCCTGAACTCTAGGGCGATCTCTAACTGCTCCTTTTCCTTGCACCGCAAATTTAGCCATTTGTCATTAACCGCTCACATATGCGATTTGATCACCGATGTAATTGGCTCTGTCCTGCGTGACTGTCTTCTACTGGTTCCTTCTTCACAATTTGGGGCACAAGAAGCTCTCCAATGGACTTCGATAAGAGACCACAGTACCCAGTTGGGGCTCTTATCCAAACGAGCACGCGGTGGCGCGATGACTGACGCTCAGCCCGTTCACACAGTGTCCTTCGCCTTCCATTGAAGCAGTTGCGCGGCCGGGTGCCGCGTGCTTTCTGGCAACGGGCTTGCATGTGTGGACGCGCCTATCTACCCAAGCAGATCTGCGGCCAATTTCTGGCTGGGTGCGCCAAGTGTGTGGCAGTGCGTTGGCTTTGCTCTGCGTGTGTGGCGGCAGTTTCCTGGGTGACCTTCCCGTTACCGGCACCGGGTCCTTGCGCAACCAGCCGGATCGAAGGCCACACCTGCACCAGAACTCACATCAGAACTGCACAATGTGAACTTCGCAACTTCACACAGCTCATTCCATCCCGACTGGGCGTTGGCTTGCCCCCACCATCCCCGGCGCTTTCAAAGCCACAAACTGCTCCCACACGCCAACGCAATTCACCCCCAATGCACACAACGCGATCCCAAACGCTTCCCTGTTTAACGCCCCGCGTTGGCCTCCTGCGCTCTCGGGTGAGTGCGGAGCTCCCCCATCACGTTGGCGCACCAACGTGGGTTCGCTGCAGCCACACTTCCTTCACTGTCGCTCTGTTGAACTACTGGTGCAATGAAAGGCGCCGGGAGCGTTCACCCGGCGTTCTATGGCCGCGCCCACGCCCAGCCACCTGTTCTTCTCACACGGGGCTTGCGTGATTGACCACGCATCGTTCAACACTCGAACGTACGCTTTATGTGAGTGGTGTGCGTTACGTGAGCGGCAACACATCACCGACATTCCTTGCATGATTGTCCTTCCACTTCCCTGCAGCCGAAGCCTGGCCGGAAGACCGCAAGGTGGAGTTCCCGGAGAACTTCGCGCCACATGCCCCGGCTGGTTCCCGCCAGGGGTCCATGTTCACCAACCCTGGTCGCGTCAAGCCCAACCGGTCCGAAATTCAGCCCGGCGATGCACCCCACACTCCCACCAATTTCGACCCACCCCCCACCACGTCACGCCCGCGGGGCACTTCGAGGTACGCTCCCAACCCCCGCTGGCGCCAACCCTCCAACCACAGCCACAATTGCGCAGGCGCTGGCACGCTTGTCAACCATTGTTGACGATCTGCTCATGCCCTGATAGGCCCGGTGGTCAGACGGGACTGGGTGACCTGTCAACGTGGCGGGTGGCCGAGTGAACGCCCAGGGAAGTTGGGTGGGAACGCTGGCGGGTACAAAGCGCAGGCGACTGGCAGAGATTGCATCCGCCCACGCCCCGCCCGCGCCCACACACACCCGTATAGGGCGTCCGCCGACACCCGCGGCCGACCCACGGTGCGTTGACTTGCCCGTTTTCTATGCCGAATTAACATGCATCTCGTAGAGACGCTGCCGATCAGCTCCTCACCGCGTTCTGCACGTCAAGGGGGGGACAAGATCGATCGATGACGGGGCAGGGAGTGGGCAGAGAGGGTTAACTTTTGGGGCGGGCGGCGACCATTCTTGTGCGCTTGGGCCCTCGGGAGCCGGGCGCCGCATTTTTGGGCAGTTCGTGGCTCTGTCTGCGGGTGGGTTGGGGCGCGACGCCGGGACGAACGGCGTGGGCAGTGACGGGGAAGCCGGAGATCTCGGACGGAGGATTGGAGATTGGCTTGCATGAATTTGGAGGAACTCTTGTCCAGACGCGTGGGGAGGAGCGAGGCGTAATCGACGCGAGACCCCTGAACGACACCATACGCGGACCGGGTTGCCCATCCGTCCATCCGTGCCGGATTGCCCGCGTGACGCGAAACCCACGTGGCGCTTGCGCTCTTCGAGGGCCCGTGTACCGCTCTGAGCCTCAGCCGGTGCGGAAAGGCGCGCGGTGTGGGGTCGGTGGGCTCGGAAGGTTTCAAGACAGTGGTCTCGTGTCGAAACAGTGATTGGTGCGCGGGCGATTTCTGCGATGCTACCCGACTACCCGACCGACGCGCGACGATTGTGCCGCGGCGCATTTGCTTCGCACGGGCTCGTCGAGATCGGTAGAGTTGGCGCGTGTGTGGCACCGGGGTCGGCGGTAGGGGCGGGGGGCGCGGGGCCCAGGGGTTTCGGAGGGTAGGGCGCTGTTACGTAACTTGCGGTTGACCTTTTGTGGTTGTGCCCTCAGCGCCATGAAGTTCGCCATCCTGCTCCTGGTGGCCTGCCTGTCGGTCTCCCTGGTGAGTGCCCTCGCACGGCGCCGGTCAGCGGCTCGAAGCCGCTGGTCAACGCGGTCAACGCGGCTGGGGACGGGAAGGAAGCCGGAAAGCGGCACATGACCCCGCCGGGGTCCGCGGATCCGCGATCCGGCGCATCCCCCGGGTCGGGCGAAAAAAGCAGAGCGGGAGAAAAAGGCCAAAGGGGCGCCTGGGGTCGCAGCGGCTTTTTCTGGGCGGGTTTCGAACCGCGGTCGCCTGACCGCGCTCCCACGCAAGGGCCAGGTGGGGCCGAGAACGAAGAGAGAATGGCGCCCGTCCCCTCGCCGTGGGTTTCGATCTTCGTTGCCGTGGGGATCCGCTGTTCGGCACTGCGGGCGGATTTTCGAGCTCCAGGCAGCTTTGTTCTTCAGCACTTCAGGCACAGTTTCGAGCGCTACGGTCCGGATCCTGTTGGAGGACGCACGGGGTAGCTGGCCGCGTAAACGCCGATCTTCCGGCGCCCGGTACCAAGGGATCATGTTCCGACCGCTGTAGCGCAGAGCGATCGCAAGGCGTGACCAACGAGGCGTCACGAATCCCCCGCCGTGGCTGCGCAGGTGGTGGCCGATGACCGCGAGGAGGAGGTCGTCAGCGTGCAGGAGCAGGAGCTGACAGCCAGGAAGCTGCTGGGTGCGCGTGCTGGGGAAGTTGCGCCGTGGCGGTGGATTTGTGCACAGTAGTCATGAGGGGTGCTGCCGCTTGACTGTGCTGTGACCGGTCCGCCGAGCGGACCGGCGATTCGGTTTGAGCTGTCGATTGGCGCCTGACCCTTGCATACGATCACATTATACGATTGTGAAACAACTGTGTGGTTGTTGTTGTACCATTATTGTATGGCTATTATACTGTTATTGCTACTGTTATTGTTATTGCGTGTAAATACGATTGGCCGACTGACCTTTATGTTTGTGACGTCATCAGACACCAAATACGTGTTCTGCGATCCCTACGATAACGTCATCACGTGCAAGGGCAAGTACGAGTTCTGCGGCCTGCTGAAACACCCCGTGTGCAAGGATGTCAAGAGTGAGTACCCGCACGCCCAGGCACCGCGGCTTAATTTTATATCCTCATTCTTTGTTGTTTGTTTTTGGTGGTTTGTTGGATTTTGAGTGGCGGGTGAGATAACGGGCGACTGGTACCCGTAGCAGCACGTGAAGTACAGATGGCAGTTTTCCATTTCCAAATTCCAGTGTCACTACGATAATGCAGTGCACTTCACAACACTGATGTAGTAGTAACGTGATTACGATAATGACATTGCCGTTGCATTGCAAACAACAGCATTGTTGTTCCATGTACTGAACCGGCTCCCCACAGAGGTAAACACCGTACAATATCGTGTAAGGTGTCGGGTACATGGACTCTGTGCCAATGCATGCACATGTTCGAAAATTCATTCAGCCGTGGCGAACATACATTAAATTTTCATGGCATCATTCATTTCGGACAGCGTGCTGTTTGATTCGTCAATGCCATTCAGTCTTGTAGACATGCGTGTCGAAGGTTGCCGATGCTGATCCGCTTGACTGGCTTCTGTCGCAGCCTGCAAAAAGGTCAAGGTGTGCGTGAAGTACGGCTACAGGTACTACAAGAAGAAGTACTGCAAGAAGTACGGCTACAAGTACGTCTGCGACACCAAGAAGGGTGAGTGAGACATCGCCTTTGGAGGACGCGGGATGCCGCTTGCCTCCGTCGAGGTGGCAAGACGTGAATAGGCGTGACTAAATAACGCTTCAATTTGAGGAATTGAATGGATAGATTGAATAGTTGTGGTAGGAAGCTGAGAATCGCCAGAGCTACACATGGGTGGGTCTCACGGTGTCGTCGGCGGTTCATGGGATGCATCTGATTCATGAATCAGAAAACTGTGCGAAATGGCATCAAATTGCAGAGGGCCAGTATCCACTGAATTTGGAGGTGACTGGGTGTGATGGCACAAATTCAACAGCTCGCTGATTTCCCCATCCGGCGGGCGGTTTTGCGATTTTTCGTCGACGACGGTCAATACCAAAATTCAACCTCTGTGGTTTTGAGGTTCGCTGGCCGATTTGGGATTCCGGACTCCCCCGTTTAGATTTTCCATCTCGATCTTTCGATTGAGCGGACACACTCGATTTCAATCAGGTCCTCGGCCCATGAGGAAGTGTGCCTAAATCGCGACTTTTCAATTCGCAGTGTGCAAGAAATACGCGTGCATGAAGAAGAAGAGGTACGGCTACCACCACGGCTAAATCGGCGGAGTCTCGCGATGGTGATGGAGCTCGTGGGAAGGTGAGGGCTTTGTGGAATATTCGATATCCTTTTCACAGCACTAATTCCCAGGAGCCGCGAACTTCAAGGATTCGTGACGATTTGTATTCGCCCTTTGTAATTTTGGGGCGATGTTCGCCTTCCAAGTCGCTAATTGAGTTGCACGCAAAACGGAGGCAAGTAAACAGGACTTTTTTCCCATATGTTTTTCCTATGATGTTGCAATTTGTTATTCAAAACCTAAACTCCGAGAGACTCGTGGCGGGCGTGTAGATCAGGGATGGCATCGCGAGTCTTCCTTGAGCCTACGTGTATGCACAGCAGTGCAATTTCACACGCATAGTGGTTTCATTCTGGTTTTCACATTTGGATCCCAGTTTTCCAAGCTACGAGCGTGCATAACATACGCCATGCAATCTGGAGGGTTGCGTCGCCAAAAGCAGTTTTACAGCCCTCTCTGGACAGGCCTCGCGGCAAGCACTTTCACCGTTGCCAAGACTAGCGGGTCGCGCAAAGAGCAAACAGCGTTGTGAACGCAACTCTAACGAAGTCTTTGCCGTGCACAGGGGTGTTCTAGAAGCCCGCGCCCGCAGCCCCACGCCGGAGCTGGACGGCGGAGATCTCCTTCGTGACTAGATCAACATTCACCTCGATAGTTTTTTTTGCTGGAGCGTTCTGAATCGCTGTCAGTGTATCATTTGGGGGGAAATTGTGTACAATGGCCATTCACACACACTCGTTTCACTTTTTTGTAAGCTAAGGATGCGAATGTACTGGCCTAGACTGGCCTGTAAATGGTGATCGTAGTTGCATTACTCGTGGTGGGCCGTGTCTCTCGGGTTTCCGTCTTTGCCAGTCCCTGCTGTCGACTGCGCGGGATGATCAGGAATTGACACTCGTTGCAAGCCCATTGGCAGTCGCCGACACTCGTGGAATGCGCAAGTGCTACATCCATTCTGTGTGTCGTGAACAGAAACATGTTTTGCTTCATTGAACATGGAGATATATGCCCTAGAGTAACATCCACTCAATGTGTCAAGAACAGCAACATGTTTTGCTTGATTGATTATGGAGAAATATGCCCTTGCCATTGACAAAGATAGGCAAGGTAAAGAAAGGTTGCCACCACTGACAGGAGTTGGCAGGCTCGTCGCCACGACAACGTTGTACAGCCGAGCAAAAAGCCAAACACAATTTTATGCCCCTTATATCCGGTCCGTTTGTCAATGTTCATGTTGCAATTTCTAATGCCTTGTCTCTGCGACTAACTGTTAGTACTGAATTATTTCTAGTTACAGCAGCAGCATATCATCTACAATGCAACCGTTGCAATAAGCTGACACACAGCTAAACAACACACTGCGTACAGCCCACTGGGCATAGTGCGCCGCAACAATCGTCTCGATAGGGGTCTGGCAATGAGCATGGAATGTCTACGTTTAAAAATTGGTGCATACCAGTGAGCAATTGGACAATACACACTTTGTCACCATCTACACACGACCGCTCTCCCTGCAATGTTCATCTGAAAAGAGCATGACTCATTACTTTACCACTTATGTACCGGCCTTTTCCCATCACATTCTCGTTAACAGCGTTCTCGCCTCCTGCCCACTGCAATTCACTATCATACCTATAACCACATGTCCAATACAATGCGTGTGCGTTTATGCTTACGCGCCTTCGCGAATCATCCTCAGGATTTTCCCAAACCCTATGCCTGCACAATGGAACATCTCCCGGGACGCTAGGAAATCAGTTCCAAATTCCATGAGTAAAAAAACGAAGCACCTGCTACCACATCAAGGAAACCGACACTTCCATCAATGTCACTCCGTACTCTGAAATGCCCATGTGGCCGAACATAGCTCCCCTTCCAAGGCATAGAGACGATCATATCCCACAGAAAAATAAGAGGTGGGAGGGTAAACAAAGAACAGCTTGAGTCTGCGAGCACTGCTCCTGAGTGCATTGGGCAACATCCCATCCGAGCTGCCCAGTACTTAGGCGCACTCCCCCAAACCACGGATTCTGTAGGCGCCGCTACCATTCCTGTGGCTGGAGGTGAGCGATCCTGAGGCCCGTGGCTGGGCGTCTGGCCCTCCAGGGGGCGTGTCACCGATTCTCCCCCCCCCCCCACCCCCACCCCAGTTGCCGGCCGCCGGATAAACTACCTCACTAATCGTAAAGCATCATCCCTCACTGTAATCCCATTTCCCAGAGCATTCCAAACGCCTCACCGCACTTCTGCAGCGTCCCCAATCCCACACTGTGCCCCACAACCTGCTCCACTGGGGCCGCGGCGTCGCCGTCGAAGTGCGCAATGGTGTGTTGTAACCAGAACTGACTGAGTATTACCAAGAGCTGGACGGACAAAGAGGCGATGAGACAACAGGAACTGAATTAAGGACACTGATGAACGGACCGGATGTACAAGGGACAGTAATCCTGTTGTCTCTGTGCTCCACTGTAAACCGCTGCCGTGTGCTCGAGCCTACGGTCCTCAGTCAGGGTACGCTTCCCCTAGTACCTGCCTGCCTTTGTCAGAAACCCCGGCATGACGCTCCTTCCTGCGCCGCACATCTCTGGAGCGTTCTCGCCTGACTCGCCTCCTCGAGCATCAGCCCCTCCTGAGCAGGCATGTTATTTCCGTCTGCGCTTACAGCTTTACGCATAAATAACGAAGATCTGCAAAAGGAGCTAAAAGGGGCTTTTCTGGCGGCTGTATTACCTTTGCCGCTCGCTGGAAGTTACACCGTGAAAGTCGTGTGCAATGACCTGCTCTCCTCTCCTTCGAACACAAGGGATAGCGCCAACGCCGTGCTAGGGCGGCCCAGGGGGCGCGGTCTGTTGTGCTGTTGGCGTACGGAAGCCCTAGGAGAATGCACCATCGGCCAGCCAGACGCATCGCCAATTGGTGTCGCTCCTCGTCAGGCTTCTTATTTACACCGTAAACACAGGTCGTATTTACGTTTTTCCATGCAACAATATTTTTTGCACTTTTGCGCGTCAAAATACGTAAACACTACGTGAAAACAGCCCCATGTACACAGGGACAGTACACGCAGCCTTCGGGACTCCGGGAAATGGTATCCAGACGCACTGAATGGGCAGAAAAAGAATTTTGTTCCTCTCCATCGTGGCCCTCGCTGAGTGGGAAGCGGATGCTGTGTTGCGGTTGCTCAAGGGGGCGGAGTACTGATCACTGTACGCAACTTCATCGGGTAAACTGGGTGTCACAACGAGCTGCAAAAACGTGAAGACAGCCGTAGAAATAGCCCCTTTTGCAAATTTACGTTTTTGCGCATAAAATGTAAACGTAAGAACGTAAACGTCAACCAGTTCGAGATCGCGAGGAGCAGGCTTGTTATTGACCCCCGTGCAGCCGACGGTCTTCCTGCACCAAACGCGCGTGGGGAAGGGGCAAACGAATCCCCAAGGTATCCTTTGCACTGGATTGAGTTTGGCGGTGTCCATCTCCGGTTCGGATACCGGCACGCGGGACCCAACTGATCCAGAAAACATGGTTGCTGATATGGGTGGGTGGGCAGGGAGGGGGGCAATTTCTCAACCCACAAACAGCAAGAGGTGCTCCCGCGAGGCCACAAAAACAGGCAGAAGACCGCTTTCCACAGTCGCTTGTAGTTTGCGGCTGGATTGCCCGCAGTACTTGCCATTGCCGCAAAGCGATGGAGAAATTCGAAAATGGCGGCGTGGACAAGTGTCCACATCTTTCCACCAGAAACTGGACCGGAATCAACCGCAAAAGCCACGGAAGCGGCCAAAACGGCCTTCTCCGTTGGTGTGTGTTGTTAGGAATCGATCGCTGTCGTTTTCGGCCACCTTGTGGCCCGTTGGTGTGTGTCGGAGGGCGGAGATCTGCTGATTTCGCGCAGATGAGCGTCAGGCATAACTGCTATGTGTCTGCAAGGACGCCTTTGGAGGTTGCCTATCATGGGCCAGTGCTCCTCAGGGGTCTGTCGTATACTTCCATGGCCGAGTTCGCCGTTGAGGTTGCCGTTGTTGGGGAACCTGGACACGGCCATGGCCAGTCTGTCACAGTGACCATAGTAACGCATTCCAAGGCAATACCATGGCTGCTTCAAGGGAGGAAAATGGCGTCCAGCGTCCGGGGCGCCTTGTGGCCGGCCGTGGTGCCCGTGCGGCCACTGCGCCCATCCAATGCCCATGGGCGCGACATGCGTGACATGGCGGTCGCTAGTGGAAATGGCCATTTCTGAGACGCCATATGACAATAAATGACGCCTACTGGGAGACCACTGGGAGACTTTCTTGAGCATTGGATGAGCCTTGGCTGAGCTCACGGACTAGAGAACGCGTCCCAGTGACGTCCTGGTAGACGTCACTAATTGTCACCTGGCGTCCCTGAATTGGGCACTTCCACCAGTGCGCGACTTACCTGCTGAGCGGATAATTTGAGTTTGGACAAGAAATTTGGACCACGTCAGCTAGTTGACATGTCTAAGATTGAACAAAACTCAATTGGAGCAAAATTCAAAACGGGACTCCAATTTGAAGATTTTTGGGGGGGGAGGGGAGGGGAGGGGGTGGGGAAGGGAAGGGAAGGGGGGGAGGATTTCCCCTTCCTTCCCACCATCCACAACCCGTCAGCGAACGTTTGGCAGGGGGAGGATCTTGTGGGTAGTGCTGCTGCTTCTGACCTCACCGTATTTTGTTGTCTTCGTGCTTTGCTCTAGAGGTGTCGAAGATGTGGGCTTGTAGACGGACCTGCTGAGGGCATCTGCGTCAACACTCTGAGATTGCGTAAGGTACGCAGGACCACTCTGATTCCTCCCTTGTCTGCGTGTTTATTTCCTAATCTCTCTGAGGCTGCTCTGGTGGTTGCCAGGCAACATTCACACCTAATAATATGCGCTCTTACCCATTAATATGCGACATGGTGCTGTAGTATATCATTAGTTCATTTCCAGACTACTGAGGTACATAACAAGTCCAAAAT